CACACGGTGCTGCTTGCTGAGCCAGCAGCTGAGCAGGCAGGTCCCAGGGATCCATTTTTTGTTTTTCCAAATGCAGTCTTAAACAGCCCCAGGGATGACAGATAGCAAGTGCACTGGGCTGACCCCTGTGAGCAAAGCAGGTGAGGGATGGGTTTATATCTGGTCGGAAAAAAAGAGAAGAAGGGTGCTCAGAGTTGGATCTGCACTAGCACATAGAGACCTGGAGCTTGTTCAGCTTTCACAGGAGCATTTTGGGGTGTCACTGGAGGGTGTGAACACTTTCCATCCTTATTTGCACGTGTTTATCTGTGGATCCATCTCTGTCCTGCACCACATAACAAGGATCATGTTGGTGTGTAGTTTCTCAAAACTGTGGTAGCTGTGCAAGTGAACCTTTTACTTTTTGGGTAGTTATGGCTTTCTTATGTAGGAATTGTTTATATAAATGTTCCCTGAGGCCATATTGTTCATGGGGCTGCAAACACTGAAGTGTTTTCCCTCCTGCCACAATGGTATGTGTGTCAAAGTCCTGCTCCTTTTTGTTTAAAGCTTAAATACCTCAGCTGTAACAATTGATTCAGCACTTTAACTTCAGTTCCACAGCTTTACACAGGTATTGCAGGGCCACAGTTTGACTTACACAGCAGAACAGGGGGAGTTAAAATTGCATCTATTTTTCTAATTTGCATTCACTCCAATAACACTTAGTATTTATTTTTCAAGGTACCTAAGTGTGCTGCTTGGGTTTCAAATTTGAGCTCTTTATCTTGGCAGTGAAAACATTTTATGGAGTTGCTTTGATGGAGAAATGGACTCACAAGTCAGGTCATTGGGTCTCAATTGATGGGGGAAGGAACTGAGCGTGTTTTGAATGTTTTCAGCTGTCTGCTGGGAGAAAAAAAACCCACTCAATCCTTAATGTCAGAATTGCTCCACAAATATATTTAAAACTGATTTGACAAATGCTCTGATCGTTGATGTGGTAAAACACTTAAAAGTTGTGGGGGGAAGAAGGAAGGGGGGATGAAGCCACTCTGAGTAACTTTGGCCTCTGTCCCTCCCGCAGGTGTTTCACCAAAACCAACGGCACTTTCGGCAGCAGCGCGCTGCCCGTCGTGCCCCTGGGAGCCCCTTTCCAGCAGGACGGTGTGGAGATGAAGCCCCTGAGCCCCCAGGTGATGGTGGCCATGTGCCTGGCCTCGGCCAGCCCCGAGTGCAGCGCCCGGCTGGAGGAGGAGGGCAGGGAGAGCGCGGAGCAGCCCCCGGCACAGCATTCCTGCTGCCGGGAGGCCGTGAGCCAGCTCTCCGTGGATTGCATGGACGGTGAGGCAACCTGCCGAGGATAGCACCTGGCTGGGAAGCTGGGAGTATTCTGTAGGGAGCTTAATTTATTGCAGAGAAGCCAGTAATTAAACCCTTGTAAGAGCAGGCTTGGAGGAAGGTGAATGTCCCGCCTTTCCCATCGTGGAAAGCGGGAGCAGTGCTGCTCCAGTGCCTGGTCCTGTCATGCCCTTGTGATTGATGCCTCTAAAAAGGGCTCATTGCCACATAAGGAGGCTGTGACTGATGGATGCTGCACTCACAGCACCCCCATTGGCCCCAACACAGGACACAAGTATTCCAGAGCCATCCTGGAGGCAGGAGCTGGCACAGGGAGGGACCCAGTATCTGGTGGTGGAAAGAGAACCTGTTCCTCTCCCCACCCTGGAATCATTGCACCTTGTGTGCTGAAATCAGGCAGCTCCCTCTGCACCCACCCCGTGGCAGCAGGGGAAGGGGGGTTCAGGTGGACACACCTCTGGCAGGGTGTGCCAGGTCAGGAGCGTGGCCTTGGTGCCATGAATTCCTCACCAGCCCATTTCCACCAAATGCCTGGAGCTGTTGCTGATTTGGGGTGAATGCAGCAGTTTTGTGAATTGTGACCACGTGCAAATGAATCCTAAAGGTTCAGCACTATTTCATAGCTGTTTTCAGCAGCAGCCATCTCAGAGCAGGTTTTGTTACTGCAGTGCTGGGCTGACGATACAGCCTATGCCCTGTGCTTGTGCCTGGTGTGGTGGGAATGAGCCTGAGCCCAAAGAACATCACCAACTGGAATTAAAGAGTTTTTGGGGCATGTGGTTCTGTTGAGCTGACAGAGAATCTCCTGAAAAACCCGACACAACCAGCTGCCCTGCTCTTGCTTTGCAGGCGGCAGCTTCCTGCACTCGGAAACATCGAACCACATTTTGAGTTGGAGCCCCCTCATTCTTCAGCCTCTTTCCAAGGACTGTAAGGAAAAACCAGGATGGAGTTCATCTGGAGCCACCCTAAATGGTTCTGGGGACCTTTGTCAGCTCCAGCTGCAGGAAACCTGAGGCAGTGACCATTGTCCCCACTCAACGCCAGGAACTGCACCGCAGCACCGCTGAAAGGGAGTCACGGGGGGATGTTAATTATAACAGAGAGAGTCACTATTTATTTTTTGTAGTAGTGTCATATGAATGTATCTTGGTTTCAGAATGGTTGCCTTTTTATATTATTTATGCCTTGAAATCCCTTTTTTTGTTGTTTTTTTTTTTTTTCTTCCCCCACACACCACAAAACTAGCCTGGTTATGTGTATAAAAAAGAATTGTAATAATATAAAGAATGAGGATGGGAAATGTGGAGTGTGTGTCCGTGGCAATTTACCAGTGGGACAAGAGCTTCTGAGGAGCCCAAGAGAGGGAGTTAAGCAGGTCTGAAATGACCAACAGCTGCCACCTCCCTGGCAGCTCAGTGACATGGCACTTGAACCCTCCTTTCCATGAACACCTCCTGGCCTCTCTTGATTTCTCTGGGAAGATCCCAGTGAGGAAATAAGAAGATCAGTAAGGAAAATGAGCCTTGGTTGAGTCTGTTCTGTGCAGCTTGAAGCAGAACTTGAGTCAGTGACTGTGTCTTTAGGTGCTCAATAACCCTTCTGCACAAGTACAGGTGGAAATCAGCCTGTCTCACTTTCCCACTCACAGAAGACAAAATCCAGTTCAACTCTTGGTTTGGGGGATTACTTACAGCTTGGGTAGCTCTGAAATGCAGCCAGTCATGGTGAAACAGCTCCCAGCAGCCCTTGGCACTGTTAGGAACCTGCCCCTCCTGGACACAGCACGATGGAGGTGCTGCAGCCTTAACTGCAGGGCTTGGGTGGGTGTTTTAATTCTTCCTTTCCAAATTTAATCCCAGTAAATAAACCAAATCAGTGCTTGCAAAGCGCTCCCTCCTCCCACATGAGTCACAGTGCAAAGCCCCAGAAATGAATCAAAATGTACAGTGATGGCCACCCCGAGGTGACACCTGCAGCCCAGAGCAGCGTGTCCCTGGCCAGTCTGGAAGGGAGGGAGCCATGTCAGCCTGGCTGCAGCTGCTCCAAAGCCCTGGGAGCTCAGGGCTACTGGTGCAGCTTTGCCAGCCACAGGGTTTGGGGAGTGATGTCTGTGTGAGGAGAAGCCTTTGAGATCTGCTTTGGTAGCAGCAGCTCCATGGGCTGCTCCAGGAGTGTTGGAATGGGTTTTCATGTTTAACTGAAACCCAGCACAGTTTGATTTGGGAGAGACCTTAAAGCTCATCCCATTCCACCCCTGCTGTGCAGGGACACCTTCCACTATCCCAGGCTGCTCCAAGTCCCATTCAACCTGGCCTTGGGCACTTCAAGACTGGGGCAGCCACAGCTTCTCTGGGTACCCTGTGCCAGGGCCTCACCACCCTCACAGGGAAGAATTTCTTCCCAATATCCCATCTAAATCTGCTGTCTGGCTGTATGAAACCATTCTCCCTTGTCCTGTAACTGTGCTTGTATAAGAAATCATCTCCCTCCTGCTTCAAGTAATTGAAGGCCACAATGAGCTCTCCCCAAAGCCTTCTCTATTGCATTATTTGTGGTTATATTTATTCTTTTACCTTTTTTTTAGGGTTGTGCATCCTCCCAGCTAGAGCTGCCTTATTCCAAAGTTCTTTGCACACCATGGACTTCTCACCCGTGGGCTTTGGCTGCCACATACCCCAGAACCACCACAGATCTCCCTCCTCCCTTTTTGTTTATCTTGTCCTCACAGCCTGGATTTTCCTTTTGTAGGATCTGCTGCAAGGTTTTCCCCTTTTCCAACAGAGATTGGCCCACGAGTTGTTGAGATTTAACTGTGGCTGCTTAGTTTTCCCCAAACACTGAAATTTAACCATGGTTTTAAACAACCTTGCTTAAATCTCCCCTGTATTGTGGGTGTGTCAGATAAAGAGACACTGTTTTCCAGAGAAGCTGTAATATCCCTTTGGAATGTTATGTGTTTGGAAGTGATGGTTTTGCAGGGGGTTTGGGTAGGGTTTGTATTTCTGGGGGTGGTTTGATAGAGGGATCAGTGCTGCTTTATGGCTGATGTGGAGATTGATACTCTGTGGGCACTGATCAAGGTTGGTTCATGTGGCTTGATACTTCCCAATGGGTTGTTATTAACCAAATACAGGAGAAAATGATCCAAGGTGCCCTTGTCTCCACACACAGCAGAAGATGAGGACTCAGGAAAGCTGGGAGCTGCCTGACACTTTCCTTGGCCCTGCTTCCCTTCATGCTTGCACCAATGCAGGGGAAAACCATCTGCAATCACTATTTTTAACCTCCTGCGGTTTGGCCTGAAACTGGGCAGTCTGGGGGTGAAGATGAGGCCCCTTCCCACAAAAAGCTTCGTGGCTGTTTTTGTACCACAGACACCTCAGCAGAGTCCTCAAGCATCATCCCCAGTCAGTGCCAGCCCCGGGGCTGAGAGCAGCGCTTCGGCCCTCGGGCTTTTTTCCTGCCGTCGGTGAGAAACTATTTATTGTAGCCTAAATATTTATTTTAGCTCCAGCAGTAACTGCAGGCCCGGGGCTGAGCCGGAGGGGCTTTCTCCGGGTGCTGCGTTTGGAGCAGCCCGACGCGGCGCAGGTGGGTGCTGCCGTCCCGCGGTGTGGGAGAGAGGACAGGGAAACAAGGAGCAGGAGCCGGAGTGGTCACGGTGTCGCTGTCACGGTGATGGTGACATTAACTGGCTCATCGCTGGTGCCTGCTGCTGCCGAGAGCGGCTCTGCAAGGGGTGGAGGAGCCCGGGTGCCACGGCTGGGCGCTGGGTCAGGGGCTCTGCCCTCAGCCCGCCCGGTACCTGCTGCCGTGCCCGGGGCAGTCGGGTCTCCCTGCGCTGGTGCTGCTTCGGCACCTGCTGCCGTGCCGGGGGCACACGAGTCTCCCTGGGCTGGCCCTGCTTCCTCCTCCCTCCCTGCGGCTGCCTCAGCATCCTCCGCTGTGCCCACGGGCTCCTGGGCGCCAGGACCGGCCCTGGGGGACACGGGGGGCTCGCTGGTGCCGGGCGCGGGGGCGGGGGGCAGAGGGGTCTGGGCACTCACGTGCGGAACAGCAGGTCGTGCAGCCCTGGGGAGACAGATGGGTGAGGTGGGGGGGTCGGGGTCGACCTGTGGCCCCCGAGGAGCCCCCGCGGCCCCGGCACTCACGCGGGAGGGTCTCCCGGTGGCGGGCGATGCAGTTCACGGCCAGCAGCGATGCTGCGGTGGCCACCAGCATCCCCGCCACCGCCGCCCCCGTCACCGCCGGGTAGGCCTCGAAGGGAGGCTCGGCTGGAAGAGAGCAGAGGGAACATGGCAGGCAGCAGGGACGGGCAGAGCCCAGAAAGGCCCGGGAAGGTGCGAGCCCGTGCCTGAAACCTGCTGACGGCTGCTCACACTCGGCTCCGCAGGATGGACACGCTGCCCTTCTCCGCTCAACCCTCGCTCTGCCCCCGCGGAGCAGCCCCTGCCCCTTCACCTGGCGTCTGCACCTCGGAGGGGTGCCCGGCCGTGCGGTGGTTGACGGCCAGGACGCGGAAAGCATAGAGCACCGCGGGGTCCAGCCCCCCCAGGCGCCGGTCGCGGGAGTGCGGCTCGATGTCGCCGGCGGCTGTTTCCCAGGGGCTGGGGGTCTCCCGGAGGGGCTTCTTGGTTTGGCGCCGCTGCACCACGAAGCCGGTGAGGTTGCCGGCGCCCTGCGTCCGCCACTCCAGCCGCACCTCGGTGCGCGCCCGCGTGTACCGCAGCTTACTGATGGTGACGTTGGGCGGGGCTGGGTACCCTGCGGCGAGATGGCACCAGCCAGGAGGGGCTCGATGCCCCCAGCCCACCCTTGATGCCCCCAGCCCACCCTTGCCCTTCCCAGGACTCACGGTCCACGCGGAGGCGGACGGGGAGGCTGGCGGTGCCCACGGCATTGGTGGCGGTGCAGCGGTAGATCCCACTGTCCCCCGGCCACTCGGCATCCCGGACCGTGAGGTTGACCCACGCTTCTCCCTGCTCCAGCTGGTACTTGGCCAGCCCCGGTGTCACCTCCCGCTCCTTTGGGTCGTACCAAGCTACTGTGGCACCGAGACTGGCACTGCTGCCACGCCGCCGGCACGCCAGCTGTGCCTCGCCGCCCTCCAGCACCGCCACTTCGCTCTCCGCCTGCAGCTCGGGGACCTCTGCTCGGCGAGAAGGGGGGACACTATGGGCCGGGACTGCCACCCCGCCGTGGCACGGTGGGGACGCCGGGGACGGGTCCGGCTTACCCAGCCGCAGGCGGCACTCGGCGGCAGCGGCCCGCAGCGGGTGCTCGGCCACGCAGACGAACTCCCGGCCCGCCAGGCTGCCGTCGGTGCTCAGCACCAGCACGGCGCTGGAGGCCGCGGGGTCGCCCAAGGCGCGGCCCGCGCTGTCCCGCCAGCGCAGGGTGACGGGCGGCGTGCCCCCCTCCCAGCGGCACCGCAGCATCACGTACTCGTCACCCTTGGTGGCCGCCGCCGCGCAGCTGGGGCTGCCGGACGGGACCCCTGCGGGACGGAGCGGTGTCGGAGTGGGGCACCGCCACGCTGTGCCAAAGCACCCCCAAAAAGGAGACACACGCTCCCCCCACCCCAGGGCGAGGGGGGTTCGGCAATCCCGGCCGTGCCACAGCGTCCCCCGTTTTGGAGCAAGCTGGAGGTGCTGAAGGTCCCGGGAAAGGCAGCAGCACCCTGGAGTGCCCATCCCATGGTTTGGCCACGGCACGAGCTCATTGCAGCTCTGCTGTGACACCAGGGGGTCACAAAGGGGGCTGGGGGCAGATGGGCCCATTGTCACTCACACAGGGTGGTCCCACATGCAGCCCCCAGTGGCAGCGCGGGGTGGGAGGCCAGGCAGGAGAAGGAGCTGCCGTTCCTGGTGGCTGCCCCTGACTGGATCCTGGTGGCCATGGAAAAACTGGTCCCCATCAACCCCTCTTCCTCCTCCTCCTCCTCCTCTTCCTGGGGGCCCACCCAGCGCAGCCGGACCAAGGGGAAGCCCCCCAGCCAGCGGCACCGCAGGGCCACGTCCCGCTGATCATCGGAAGCCAGGGCAGAGCAGCTGGGGCTCCCTGCTGGTGGATCTGCAGGACACCATCAGCACTGGGGGAGAGCTTGGGTTCCCCCCAGCCCCTCCTCAGATTGCCCGTCCCACCCACATCCTCACCAGGGAGCTGCGCTGGTCCGTCTCACCCTGTGGGGACCCTCGGCCCCCCCGGGGGGTTACTTACAGTAGACAGTGAGGACGATGGTGGCCTGGGTGCGCGTCTGCAGGTGGCTGTTCTCGGCCAGGCAGGTGTATGTGCCCGCCTGGGCACGGGCGATGGCAGTGATGACGTAGGTCTGGCCAACGTGCACCTGGGAGCCATTGTGCAGCCAGACATAGCGGCTGGGGGGGTTGGAGGGAGCCAGGCAGCTCAGCACCACGTCCTCCCGCTCGCCCGCAGAGAAGCCCCCCTGCTCGGGGGAGAAGGGCTCCACACGGATGGCCGGCTCGTCAGGGCCATCTGCGGGGACACGGGGCCCTTCAGGCAGGGACAGCCCACAGAGGGGACACAGCCCTCCCTGGGGCTTCCTCCCACTGGTGGGATGTCCTTAGAAAGGGTGCACCATGAGGGCTGTGAGCACACCATGACACACAGTGGCCATGGATGCATCGAGGTGGCAGCGCACACAGTGGCCATGGTGGCTACAGAGGCATTATGCTGATGCTACAATATGTAATAATATATGGGGTGTATGATGGCCATGAATACATCAAAGCAACAAGAAGCCATACCGTGGTGGCCACAGAGACATAGTGGTGGCCACAGAGGCATCACGGTGGCAGGATACATGATGCCCATGGATGTTCCATGATAGCTATGGACATACCATGGTGGCAGGGTGCTCAGTGGCCATGGAAAACAAACCACAGAGCATTGTGGCCAGAGATGCCATGGATGGCACCAGCCCTGAAGATGCCCCCCCAGCTGCTGGCTGAGGGCCCCCCGCGGTGGGTGGCACCCAGGGCACTCACAGACGATGTCCAGGTAGACGGGGTCGCTGGTGCGGTTGTTGACCTCGTTGTGCACGGTGCAGAGGTACCAGCCCGTGTGGCTGCGGTTGGCAGGTGTCAGCTGCAGCTCTGCCCTGGAGCCCCCCAGCCCCGCAGGGGTCACTGAGGGACCGCCCCGGGGCTCCTGGTGCTGCCAGGAGAAGCTCAGCGGCTCTGTCCCCTCCCGCACGGTGCACGTCAGGGCCACCGCTGCCCCCTCCGCTGCCGCCGCCGCCGTCGGCCGCACGAAGGGCTTGGAGACAGGCACTGGGGGCACCGAGTGTGAGCGGCCCCCACAGACATCAAAACGCCCCAGGACCACCCATCTCCCCCACCCAGACAGGCTGTTTGGGCAGTGAATGCCATAGCAGCCAGTAGAATGGCCAGTGAGGACGCTGCAGGATAGTGAGGGGAGCCCTGGCTGTGGGCATGGCCACTTGCTGGGGTGGCTACTGGGACCAGTCTGGGGGGCGGGGGGATGCTTGGGTAGCCAGGGCAAGGAAATGAGGGTGGCTTAGTGGGCTGCTGTGTTGCCTTTTAGGGGGCTACACTGATTGGAGGCCAGGGAGATTTGCTGGCTGATGGTGTCCTCTGCTGGCTAGTGGAGCTCGGGCTTGGCTGATGAGTGCCATGTTGGCTTGTGTTGAGCTACCTTGGCTGATGGGATGCTATATTGGCTAGCGGTGTGTTATGGTGGCTAGCAGGATGCTTTGCTGGCTAGTGTAGGACTATGTTGGCAAGTAGGGTACTCTGCTAACTAGTGGGGTGCTTGGTTGGTGAATGGGGTACTACAGTTGCTAGTGAACCACCATGCTGGCTAGCGGGACTCTGCGTTGGCTAGTGGGGCACTTCGCTGCCTTGCACTACGCTTTATTGACTTGTGGAGCCCTTTGTTGGCTAGGGGGGTGTTTTGTTGGCCAGTGGATGGCTCTGTTGTCTGCTGGGCAAGAGGCTGGGCTTGATCATGATCTAGGAGAGGGTGATGCTGACTTCTGGCCAGCAGGTCCCCCCGGTTTGGCCACAGTCAGGGACTTACCCAGGACACGCAGGAGAACGGCGGCATAGCCCACACGGAGCCGGCCCCGCTCTGGAAAGAGCCCCTGGCAGAGGAAGCGGCCCTGGGCGGCCACCCGCAGCTCCCGCAGCTCCAGCGTCCCGTTGCGCAGCGTCACCCGGCCCAGCATCCCCGTGCCAGGGGCCATGGCCACCTCCCTGCCCGAGCCCACGGCCACAGCCCGTGGGAGCCCCTCTCCCTGTGGCGTGAAGCTCCAGAAGACCACGGCCGGTGGGGCTGCGGCCGGTGGCCCACAGCTCAGCTCCACCGCCCGGCCTCGCACGCCCGTCGCCCGCCATTCCTCGTAGGCCGCCTCGCTGGCCGCCAGCGGCTGCCCTGCCCGGGCAGCGCGGCCGTCAGCCTCTGCTCGCCCCCCACCCGGGAACCGCGGGGACAGGGCGGTGCTCACCCCCCGCCAGCGCCGGCAGCAGCACCAGGATCCAGGGTCCCCTCCAAGGCGGCGGTGGCGGTGCCCGGCCTCGCTCCATGGCGCCATGTCCAGCAGCGGCACGCCGAAGCAGGGCTGCGCTCTCCAGCTCGACCTGCTCTCCAGTTACTCCCAGGTAATTAAGCCCAGCCCTGATTAACTGTTAATTATTTATCAACCTGCCAGCACAGGGGGAACCCGACGCCACTGCCGCCAGGCCCCCTGCAATCTCAGGGCTGAGGAGCGGCGCACTTGCTCTGGGAATGGCAGCATCCCTGCGTTCCCCCCATGTGAGAATTTAATCCCTGATGGTTCCCTCCTTCACACAATGTTTTTTTGGCTAAAGGAGGGGAAAATAAACTGCCACTCCCCTGTGATCAAAGCTGGGGGGTTCGGAGCTGGGGAAGCCAGGCAAAGAGCAAGGTTTGATATTTCATCTCGCACTGTCTGCAACGCCCCAGACCATCAAACATTCATAGGGGTGGCTGTGCCGTAACGCAATGCCAAGGGGCTGGAGCAAGCCAGGGGGGATTTGGGGGTGCACATGGTGAGGGGGATCAGGGAACACCCAGTAAAGCCTGGAAAACTACCTTCCATCTCCCATTTCCCTCAATGATCCTTGAATTAGAATTCATTGCTAGTTACCAAAATCACACTGTTAATACCAAATGTGTGTGTACTCCCCACAAAGAGGTTTTGGAGCTTGAAATGCCCCAAAGGGTTCAAGCTGGCAGCAAGGAACTACAGAGTCAGGGCCAGGCCCCCTCCTGCTACCACCAGGTCCTGCTTCTGCCTCTGGCTGTGCTCTCATCACATTTTGGTCACTTTTTGTGCCCATTCAGGTCAGGTTTGGATAGAAATCTGGATGAGGAGAGCAGGGCTCAGTAGCCAACCTGATAAATGATACCATTGTCAACAATGATCTAATCAAACCTCACGTGTGAGGGTTGATATATTTCAGAGAATTTTGGTAAAGAAGGAGCCACCCTGGTGATTACAATCAATTTCATTTATTAAAGATTAACAAAGGCACAAACACAGCCCAGTCCCTGGAGTCCAACTTCTGTCCTCACACTGCTGGGACCCCGAACATTTGGGTTTCAGACCCCTGGGGTCCAACCTCTCTCCCTCACCGATGGAATCCTGCACACCCGGATTTTGGAACACCCGGAGCTCCAACCTCTCTCCTGCACTGTCGGGACCCTGAACACTTCGATTTTTCCCCGGGATCTGGGACGGCTGCAGTGGATTCCTGCTGCCATCTAGCGAGACAAGGCTCGCTCCAGCCTCTCCCCAGGCAACACAACAAAACTCAACAGCTTCAGGATACAAGAGAACCGGGAAGTCTTCCCCTGTAACTTTTCCTCCTGTTTAGAACTACAACTTGGATTTGGGAGAACGAATCCCTGCTCTTCACTCAGCTGCAAGCTTCTCCAGCTCGTCCATGTCGTACGGATCCAGCTGCTTGATCGTGGTCTCTGTAGGAAGGAAAGAGCAATTGTTGGGATGCAGTGCAGAGCTGGCTCCCCTGAGCTGCTGTCTGTGCCACCTGAGTGCCCCATGCCAGCTGGGAAGCTCCTGGAGTGCTCAGTGCAGCACTTCCCTCTGCAGGGACATCAGCTGGGAGGAACTGCAGTGGAAATGGGGTCAGCAGGGAAATCAGCTGGGACAAAGCAGGAGGGGAACTGGATCAGGGCAGCAGGCAGCAAGCACCAGCAGCAGCCCCATGGCAGCAGCACGCAGAGCTCAGCTTCTGATGTGCCCCCGCTCCCTGCTCCCACCTCCACAGCCACACAGGACAGGGAGGGTCTGTACCCTCCGACTGCAACATCACAACATGAAAAGCACAAGTCAGATTGCTGGGGGGTCATCCTCACACTGGCTCCTTGTGCCCATGGCTGTGGTTGGGCTCATCCACATGCCAGTTGTTTCATCTGCTCATTGCTTCTCCTCCATGGCAACAGTCTTTGCCAGAATGTGTGGCTTGTGTCTTCTCTGCCTGGGGTCTGCCTTAGGCTCACTCCAGGTTCCAAGGACAGGTGAACATTTGAAGGAACCAAGAGGGCTGAATGGCTCTGAGGCTGGAGATGTGGAAGGGATGGAAGGGACACAGTTTCCTGCCCATGAGAAGGCTTCTATAACCTTCTTTCCTCTAAAAATCACAGGGAAAACAGGCACTGGGATTCAAAAAACCATCAGTGCAGTCCTGGCATCTGGCAAATCCCAAGAAAATCCTCTTGATGTTAGCAAGTGACAATCAATTTCCACTCAGGAAAGATTTCCACAGCTGCCACCTCCACTCCCACAGCCAGGGCTGAGCTGAGCTGGGGCACCAGGTCCCCTGGGACAAGTGCTTGCAAGGAAAGGCAGAAAAAATGCCTGAAAGAGGGAAAAAAAGAAAGTGCTGAGGCATCCTGGGTACTGATAACATCCCTTGCAAGTTGCACACAACCGCCAGGGCTGCTTCTTGGGAAACCTGCCTGCTGGGGAGCAAAAATCACCCTAGAAGCTGTATCTGTCACCCGTTCCCAGCGAGAAGAGCCCCGGTGAGAGGAGCAGCCCGACAAGGACTATTTGCCAAGAGGAAGTGAGCCGGAGGGGATCACAGTGCCAGCCCTGCCTCAGAGCGGTGGATCCACGCGGGTACTCACGGAAATACTCCTCTATCTTGTGCACGAGCCGCACGGTCTCTCTCTGCACCACGCTGAAGGCGATGCCGCGGTGCCCGAAGCGCCCCGCCCGCCCAATGCGGTGCAGGTAGGTCTCAAAATCCGGCTCGCCGTCCTGGTCCATGGGCAGCCCAAAGTTCACCACCGTGGTGACCTGCTGCACATCAATGCCTGGAAGAGAGGGAAAGGATCCTTTTGGGATACGCTGTCCCACAGGATCTGCTGCTCAAGCCCACATGGAAGAACAGCAGGCCTGGCACATTTTGGGCTATCAGAGGGCGCTGGGTTTGCCAGGATACCTCTGGCACAGACGTTGGTGGCGATGAGGACCTTCTCCTTGCCCTCACGGAAGCGCTGGATGACGCTGGCCCGCTGCACCACTGTCAGCTCTGCTGTCAGGATGGCCACTTGGTGCCCGTCCCGGCTCATCTTCCCCGACAGCCAGTCTGCCAGCCTCCGGGTCTGCACACATGGGGACAGGCTGAGGCCAACAGCTCCCTCTCCAGAGTCCCCTGCCCCTTCCGAGGGAGCTCATGGCAGTTTTCAACACTCCCATGAGGTCAGCTCCTTTGTACTGGGGGTCTTGGGAGGAGCCCGCTGTGCCCACATTGTAAAATGACCCATTCCTGCTATTCCCAATGGGAGAGGGGCAGTGCAGGGCTCTCCCAGGCAGGCCCCTTACCTGACAGAAGATCATGACCTGACCGATGGTGAAGCTGCCATAGAGGTTGCAGAGGGCCCTGTACTGCTCGTCCGAGCTCTGGCACACCATGAAGTACTGCCTGATGTTGCTCAGGGTGAGCTCCTCCTCACGCAGCTTGATCACGATGGGGTCGGGGATGATCCGCTCCGCGAAGGCCCGCACGGGCTCCTTGTAAGTGGCTGAGAACAGCAGCACTTGGCAGCTCTTGGGAAGAGCCCTGGGGCAGGGAAAAAGCTCTGTCAGCCCTGGAGAGCAGCTGCTGCTGCCCAGAAGGACAGAAACCCTAATTTAAACTGATTTTGTGTTGCCTTCAATGGAAAGGGAAGTGAAGATGGCTGACAAGAAAGATGGTGAGGGACTTTTTGTAAGAGTCTGGAGTGACCAGAAAAGGGGGGAATTGCTTCACACTGAAAGAAAACAGGTTTAGGTACTAGGAGGAAGTTCTTCCCTGTGAGGATGGTGAGGCCCTGGCATAGGTTGTCCAGAGCAGCTGTGGCTGCCCCATCCCTGCAAGTGTTCGAGGCCAAGGTGGATGGAGTTCTGAGCAGCCTGGTCTAATGGAAGTGTCCCTGCCAATGGGAAAGGGTGGGAACAAGATAGGAAGATGGGCTTTAAGGTCCCTTCCAATTGAGGCCATTCTAGGGTTCTGTGAGTCAATCCAAGGCCTGTAACAGCTCAAAGGAAAGCTAAATGAGGTGAAGTGTCTTCCTGTGCGTCCAGTGCACGCAGCTGTACAGAAAGACAGACCTGTGGACAAGCCTCTCTGGCAGCAGGGGCACACTCTCACAGCCCTCTGGTGACAGACACCTCTAAAGCTAGAGAAGGGAAAGCAGGGAATCAGGACAGCAGCCCTCAGCAATCCTCACCTGTGGATGCGGATGCTCTGACAGGAGAGGCCCTGCGTGTCGATCATGATGTCGGCCTCATCCAGCACGAACAAGGAGATCTTGGTCAGGTCCAGGATGCGTTGTTTGAAGCACCAGTCCAGTGTGGTGCCTGGTGTTCCGATGATGATCTGCTCCTCCAGCACTGTGCCCTTCAGAACTGCAAGGGGGTGAAAGGCATTTGGCGGCCTCCAGGCATGGAGCTCTCTGCTGCTCTGTGTTTTGCCTTGGCTTACTCAGACTCTAGCTGCTCAGTGATGCCTCCAAGGGGTCACCATGACACTTCCCTACAGCCTTGGGGCAGGGGAACCACCCCCATATGGCAAAAAGGAGTCTGCAAGCAGCTAGTGATGATGGAAAAGCCTTGTCAGCAGAAGGGGACAGACACTACTTTATTGCCCTTCATGGATGTCTGGGCAGTCCCTGGTAGCTCCAGGCTCTAAGACAGGATGCCCTGTGCACAGTGCTGGCAGCTGTGCTGGGCTGGACTCACCTCGGTTTCCTCGGACAGCGTAGTTCACCTTGATGTCAGTGCAGAACTTCCCAATGGTGCGCACCACCTGCCCGATCTGCAGAGCCAGCTCGTAGGTGGGAGCCAGGCAGAGGCACTGGCAGGAGAGCACAGGAAGGAGCTGTCAGGCCCAGGATGGGGCACACGGGGTAGAGGAGCTCGGGAGCATCCCCCAGCACTGAGGCACAGGGGATGGAGCAGCATGGCATGGCTGGAGGTGCAGGAGCTGGGCTGTGTTTCCAGCTACAGCCAAGGGGGCAGAAAGAAGCTGCTGCTGCTCTTTCTGAGGAGGAA